AACTCTTTTTGAGATTTCATAAAATATCATATCAAATCTTCGTTCGATATTCTTCAAAAATGATCATAATTGATTTTTGTTATATAGTCCTTTAAAAATAATAAAAATAATATTCTTTTAGAATATTAATTTGGATAAATTGATTTAAACGATTCAACAATGTTTTTCTGGAATATTTAGATATTAGAATCGTGTTTTGTTCTAGAACAATAATTGATTATTCTTTTAATATATTAATTCAAATAAAAATATGCTTCTTCTGGAGTAATGTGTCAATATTTTTCTGAAACATTGAAATTATAATGTCATGCTCTTTGGAGCAGTTAAAATTTTTCAAACCATGTGCTACTTTGAGAGCACGTTAAATTTTAATATTCCTTTTTCAAGAGCAATTTGTTAATATTATTTTGAAATATTGAAATCATAATGTTATACTCTTCAAGAGCAATAACATATTTTTAATTAAAATAATAAATTGTATAATAATTTACTTTTTGTTAGATCGTATTTAATTATGTTATTCAGAAGCAAGTAAAATCTACCTGTCCCTACTCCCTAGTTTGATACTCATATTTTCAAAATACATTTTTCTTTTTCTTTCACATATTTTTCAATAAAATAATATTATATGCAACCCAATTTTTTTTCTTATTTTTTAATCACATATTCTCCATCAAATCACTATTCTAAAATGCTTTTTTTGGATAAAAAAAAGGGGGGGGCTCAAACATGCTCTAAAGTATACGTAAATGATAGTGTAATATTTTAGGAGCAATGTTTGGTAATAGATAGACACAAGAGTACTTAAATAATGAATTATGTTATGTAATAATAAAAATAAGAATGTAATAATTAATCAAACGATAAACCAGAAATATAGATGTTGACTAATGAATTCGCATAATGGACATGTAAAGAATAATCATAATTTCTACATGGCACACCATTTATTTACATTCAAAGATGTTAATTCCTTCAAGCAAACACATGTAAATACGTAGGCAGAAATGCAGATAATTAATGAACGGACACATTCATTAGTAAAAAGCAATCATTATTCATTCAATAGAAAATCATTTATAGAATTGTCAGAGTATGTTAATCGTGATTATATTCATCTGTCATCAAATTAATTTCGATACACGTGATATATGATTATACTTACAAAAAAATTATTACCTTTATTAGACTTTGAAGAGTTAAGCTTTCATACTAATAATGTATTATAAATTAGAGAAAAAAGAGAAGAAAATAGATAAGTCAATATACGTATATGTTTTATTGAGAACCAAAGTACCATATTTATAGGAAATAATTCGGATTGTAAGGGATGCAATAATAATAATAAATAGGATTGCACGGGCATAATCGTGAATTATCATTCATTAATAAATAATAAATAAAATAGTTTCAAAATTAACAAACTTGTAAAAGGATCATGATATCTGTAGCGAATTTTTTTATCGGATCTTTTACTTACTACTCACAATTGGGGTGAGGACTACATTGTTGGAATTTTTAAATACACAAGGGCCCCGCGCAGTATGTGAGAAGGGGTAATCCATTATGTACAAATGAATTAATCTCTTCGAAAAAAACTTCTAAAAACCAGGAGGTATATGACTACGGTATATTCTGATAAATGATTGTGACTTACAAATTTTGTGATTGTGACCTAATTTTTAAGTGACGTGTTGACCTTTATAATTAACTAAGTACTTACCAACATGTGATCAATGAATTTGTATGTATAAGTGTGATCTATGAGTTCGTGTGACCGTGATCGATTATGTTATCCGACTGCAACTTAAACATATGATCACTTAATTTTTGGGGAAAAAAAAAGAAGAGAGAGAAAGTAATGCTATAATTAATGAAATTAAAACTTGAAAAACATGATTCCAGGTAAATTTCTTTATAATTAAATTCAAGCGACATGTCAATCTCTTATATTAAGTTTGGCACCCACTAATAGTTATCAATAGTTTCGCCAGCATAATTCGTACGGCCTCATAAATTATCCAGCAACCTTTCAAGAAAATTAAGTGTACGAGATTTCTAAAGATGTTAACGTTCGTCAATTCTTGTCCCCTTAGAACGACTTTTCAAAGAAAATATTTATTGCTAAAATAACGTTGACGAGAGGCCAACAATTCTGTGAATCTGGCTAATAATTTTTTTTATTCATTAAATCCATGTTTGGTACGAGTAAAAGTAGACAATTAATTTTAATCACGTATTTAATGGAATCCACAGCTTTTTAACTAAACGTTTCTTCAATTTTTATTAAAATTTACTAAAAATATGAATTAATCCCCCCCACCAAATAATATATGCAAAATATGAAAGAGTCAATTTTAAGTATTGTAATAATGAATTAATTAATGGGAAATAATCAGATAAAATTAGTTGAAAAGATGATGAATGCTCTCAACCATCATATACACTTCTGTTTATTTGACCTTTGCATATCGAGAAATGATATATGACCTTTGCATATCGAGAAATGAGCTCATGCCATCATGTTTAACATATGAGACATGCTACAGGTAAGGAATTCAAATTCATGTACCTGCCAGAACACATACAGCAAAGGTGGATGGGTGGGTGGGATTTTTTGCCAATATTTTAATTCAAATGAGGCCCACCCCATGAGAGCGAAATTCAAAAATATGTATTAATTCTGTTATTTTTTTTCATGTATTCATAGCAATTTTCTTATATATATATATATATAATTTTTTATTTGTTATTTAAAAAAAAATAATTTATTTTATATTACATATCCACTAAAAAGGGCTGTTTAATTCATACGAAGTAAGAGTGACATATCACAATTAATTGGTGGATCATTAGTAAGTATCTGTAAACTCAAAATGCAAATCTGTTAAAAGTGTGAAAATCATTAGTGGTAGAACTTGTGTGCAGTGTTTTAGGCCTAATTAGTGGCCGATAAATCTGCACAAAGTCTTTTGAATAGGGTTCTTGCTGTTAAGATTGGGGTTAGGGTTGGTTATTTGAGAGATCTCTTTAGATCGATGACCAAATCCAGTTCTGATTTGGTTTCATTTCTAATTGTACACTCTCTCTTGAAGGTTTTTGTACTAGTGACGGGCTTACTTTTGAGCTCCCGGATTAGGTTTGGCCAAACTAGATGAACAATCTCGTGTTTTTTTACTGCTTTATGGTTGTTTGCTTTTATTTTTGTCATTAATTTCAAGTTCAAGGGTAAAATACCCATCATTACCATTTTTCTGCTTCCACTTAACAACAATGACGTGACACATTAATTAATTAGTAAATTATTTAATTATTAAGACCTACCATGAACTTATTAAAGTCGTTAGCTCATGGACCTTGTGAAAATATAGCAACTTTTTCAAGGCATGAAATTCACAAGTATCTCTACCACACCAAAGAACACGAACCGTTGTTGCCGTGTCGAAGATAGTGGTGCTGGTATAGTGGCTAAGAAATACAAGTTTCAATTGAAAACTAGCATGAAAAATAAGCCAATTGCATTGGTTTCGTACTAATCATTGTCCATGGCCGTTTGTAGCCCAAATATACAGATTTTTTTAGTGAAATTAAATTATCTTAGTAAATTGAAATTCATTTAGCCTTGGTTTGGAATAACTTAAAAAGTTAAGTTCAAAGTCAACAATTAATTTAAATCATATATTTCATAAGATTCACAAATTTTAGGAGTTGCTAAAAAGCATAGACTCCCACAGTTCGAACAGTACGTACTTCAACAAAGAGGCTCGATTCGTTACAAAACAAGTTCAAGTTAATACCCTATTTGTATTTCTTCTTCAATTAATTCTCAACTTCTAACTGTCTAGGCATGCATTAGGTTTCATTTCCTTTCTTTCACCATAAAAGTCTTTAATTTCGGGATTGTTCCTGTAACTTGAAAACACATACATGTCACTAGAAATTAATTTAACTCGAAATGACTAAAATCCGCACAGAAAGGGATATCCGGTAACATGAAAACACACACAGGTCGCTAGAAATCTAGCATGAAATGACTAAAATCTACATCAAAAGGAATAAAAGGTAAGTTTTGCATTCATTATCACTCAATCCAAGGCAGCTCAATTTACATCCTAATTCATACAAATATATATGTAAAATCGAAAATTTTCTCAATCTTTACTTGCGTTTAGCAAGAAAGTGATTAAAACTGGATTGCCCTAATTAAAACATAGGAAACACAAGTGTTGCAAATGAATACCACACATTGAACAAAAAGCTGAATTTTGTAAGCAAATGAGTAAATGTGATGCAAAGGAAGATTATAGGAAGACAAAAATCCACACAAAAAGAATTTGAACGAAGAGAAATTCAAGAAAACTCTATTTCATTTAAAACTGGGTTGCCTCAAAGGGCTTACAACATTTAAATAGCGAAAAACCTAAGAAAATTTGGAAAAATTACATAATAATGNGAAAAATTCGAGATTTTGACTTAAATGGAAACTTCTAATATTCAGGATCGTCCTCCAACAAATGGAATCCAAATTCGAATTTTATTGAATGAGATATTACCAAAATAAAAATTACCATAAACGGCAAAAACACTTAATTTAGGGCATAAACGATGAAATTTGCTCAAAATTTGACGTACATCAGGGTCAAAGTGATCATTGGCCCGTTTCCAACCAAATTAGACTAGCAATTCATCAAAAACAAACAAACTCGAAATTAAATGAAATTATTATTTTTCCTTTATCAAAATGCTAATTGCTGTTTACTTTTGACTCTAGGGAGAGAGAGTTGGCTCATTTTTCAACGAGTTGGCCAATATATATAGAAGACCTTTGTCTCTTCTCTATATATCCCACATAAACAATGTTCACACCCTCAGTCAGACGCCTGTCCCTGCATATTTTTCTACTCACCATGACCTCCTTCATAAACTAGAGAGAAAAGGTTGGGTTTTTTGTATGAGAAAAAAGTCTATTTCTGAAGGACTGATTTGAATAAGTTTTCAATATGGGTAGACCACCTTGCTGTGATAAAATGACTGTAAAGAAAGGGCCATGGACTCCAGAAGAAGATATCATCTTGGTTTCATATATTCAAGAACGTGGACCTGGGAATTGGAGGACTGTTCCTTCTAACGCTGGTATTTTTATTTTTTTTTTTGTTTTGGGTCTTTCGTTTTTTTTTTGTTTTTTTTTGTGGGGGAGGGGGGGTTTTTTAGGAACATTAAAGATGCTAATCTAATATACTGCTGCTCCATCACCGTCGATCTTGAATGCACACAAAACGTTTAGATCAGTCTTTTTTATTGAATAATTTGCTATATACTTATTCTCAAATTCTTGTTTTTTGGTGTTTTTATCAGGTTTGCTTAGGTGCAGTAAGAGTTGCAGGCTCAGATGGACTAATTACCTCCGGCCAGGGATCAAACGGGGCAACTTCACTGAACATGAGGAGAAGATTATTATCCACCTCCAAAATCTTCTTGGAAATCGGTATGATAACATTCCTCTCGCGTGCACAAATTAGGGCTAGATCAATCATCACTCGCCTAGAACACGTATACAATTTTCATAAATAGTCGAGGATGAGATTGGATTCCAACACTTCATGTTGAATGACAAAATTATTAATTTAGTGTCTTTGAGAGAGAATGGAAATGATTAGTTGTGTTCTATTTGTTTTCGTGCAGATGGGCAGCCATAGCTTCTTATCTTCCTGAGAGAACTGATAATGATATTAAGAACTACTGGAACACTCAATTGAAAAAGAAACTCAATAAGCTTCAACAAGGCGATGATGCTAATAACCAAGAAAGGCACTCAGTTTCTGAATCAATCTCTAAAGGACAGTGGGAAAGGAGGCTTCAAACTGATATTCATATGGCAAAAAAAGCTTTGTGTGAGGCTCTATCCCTTGATAAATCCAACAATAATTTGCCTGATTTAGAGCCTTCCCCAATCCAAACATCTACATATGCATCCAATCCAGAAAATGTTGCTCGTTTTCTCAAAGACTGGATGAAAAAATCGCCGAAATCATCTCAAACAGGATCAGGAAGTACTCAAAATTCTTTCAACAACCTTTTAGTTGCAACCAGTTCTAACCCTAGTGAAGGGACACTGAGTGCAACAACACCACCAGAGGGAAATCATTATCTCTTTAGCTTCAATTCTGATGAATCGGACGAGGCTGCTGCGAATTTCACACCTGAAAATGGGGCTTTCAAGGATGAAAAACAACAAGATTTGAACAATCAAATGCCTCTTACTTTGCTAGAGAAATGGCTTTTTGATGATGTAGCTACTCAAGGAGATGAAGAAATAGTGGACATGTCCTTGGGAGAAACTTCTAGGTTATTCTGAAGAAACAAATCTTCTTCAAAAAAGCTTAGCAGTTTGACTAATAGTTTGATGACTTCTATATATATTGGAGAGAAAGGGTAAATTTGGTGGAGTGTATTTGGATATGTACCAGATAGGAATAAATCCCAGCGGAACCAACTGTTTGTATTCTGTGCACCATTTGTGTGTACTACTGAAAAATGAAAATTAGGGTTTTAATTTATTGTGATGATTTTCAGATTTTGAAATTCCTAAACAGAAAATTATAAACTTGATATCTCAAGTTGGATTTTTAATTTTTGATTGGTTCAATTAGCTACCATTTCATGGATTTCTGGAGCAATATCATCCATGCAAATTAATGTAGGATTGAATAAAAGTTTATAAAAGTTAAAAATGAAATTTGACTAACTTTTTAATAAACACAGGTCTTCCGAAACAACTACTAAACCTATGAGTATGTTTGGTAGGGATTTTTAGGGGAAGAATTGATTTTTGAATAGTGATATGATGGGAAATGTGTGGTTGAAAAAGAAGAAAAAAAGTATTGATGTGATGGATAATATTATTATATTGAAGAATGTGNGCTTGTTTGATGCACATTAAAATGAGAGAATGCATTTTTTTAAAGTGATATGATGGGAAATATGTGGTTGAAAAAGAAGGAAAAATTATTGATGTGATGGAAAATATTATTTTATTAAAGAATGTATGGTTGAAAATGAGAATTGATTTACTGTAGAAAATGAGAATCTGTACCAAACCAAACAGACTCTATGTAGTAACTTAAAATTATAGTTCAAATTAGGGATGTCAACGAGTCGAGGTGAAACTCGAAGTGCTATCTTTTCATTCAATTTTTTTTTTTAATTCTCAACTTGTTACGGGCAGAAAATGACCAGTGTCACGGGCTGAATTAGGCTTGAGCCGAGCCACGAGCCGGGGCCGACTTGGATTTTTCTCGGGCCGAGCCACGAGCTACCCGAGCTAACGAGCCAAATTTATATCCCTAGTTCAAATTGAGTTTAATGTCTTAACCTTGTGTGATTTTTCACATTTTCAAGAATTTATCAACCCGACCCAAAATATACAAACGATATTGAAGACTGAATTTATGCACCTAAGCTTGTTATGATGATAAAAATTTGAGTGCTTGTTTCATAAAACTCACGAGTAAAGATTTTATTAGCGTTTCGACTAATCGAACTTCAATTTTAACCACACAATTCACGAGGGTCCCAAATCTTTGAAAAATTAGGAGTTGGAGTCCAAATAAATGAAAACAGTCAATTTGAGCGTTAATTGACCAAGAAAATTGGACTTTAATCAATTTTGACCAAATTGAATGGGATAAAAATGGAAATTTTAGAATTAACATTTTTTTCAAATATTATTAACAAAAAAAATTAAACTAAAAAATATATATATATGCCCCTTCCCCAACCACCACCCTCATCTTCATCTTCATCTTCTTCTTCTTCATCAACCCAACCCCCCACCCCAACATCCAACCAAACACAATCCAAAGTCGCCGACCTGCCACCATCAAACCCAAACCCATCGCCACCACCAAACCCACAATTGACTTGATGAACGTTTACCCCATCTATCTCAAATTAATCAATTCAATTCTACAAGAAATTATTGGTGGAGAATCCCACCGCCACCACCACTTCCACCGCAACAACAACAAAGATCATCCGGTTGAATAATGACCAATGCGATTCAGTTTCCCTATTTGAAACCCTCCAAGCAAATCAAGCTATTGCTATAATCGAGATGCACGTTTGCTTTCTTGAAACCAAATGGCATTGTCCTTATGTTTGATGCAGAGAGTCCCCTTTGTGAATCCATGACTTCTAGCTTGGATCTTGCTAAGAGATCACAAAATTGGTCGGAAATGGATTTAATGGACGAGAAAACAGAAACCGTGTACTTCATGGGAGAACAGAAATAGGTAAGAATCCCTCAAGTAGATCTTCTGGAATTCCTATGACTTTTGGGTTCGATTTAGTGGAGGCGATGGTCGAGTTTAGAAAGAATAGAAGTGGAAGGTGATGGTTCGATTTAGTGGAGGTGATTTTGGTTGTTGTGTGGTTGTGGGTTTGGTGGTGGCGATCGACGGCTTTGGATTATGGTTTGAATGGATGTTAGAGGTAGGGGTCGGGCAGATTTTTTATTTTTATTTTTTTTAGTTTAATTGTTCTTATTGTTAATAATATTTGAAAAAAAAAATTTGTTAATTATAAAATTACCATTTTATCTATTCAATTTGGTCAAAATTGGTCAAAGTCCAATTTTCTTAGTCAACTAACTGTCAAATTGACGGTTTTCATCATTTGGACTTCAGTTGCTAATTTTTCGAAGGTTTGTGACCTTCACTGGTACAAACTAAATGTTAAGGTAAAGTTCGCTAAAAACACAAAGGTTTGGGACCATTGTTGTAATTATACCTTAACAATATGGCTAGATTGCTTTATGAAAAAATTTAAAAACACACACACACACACACAAAAATGGGTCGTTAAAGAATGTTATAAGTGTTGGAGAAAATAATGGTGAATCAAAGTAATAGATGAAACCGAAGGCCCGTGTTCACACGGTTTCCTTAAATCGAATTCGCCGCCTCACCGGGGTGCACGAGGTTTTTGTTCGGTGTTCGATTCCCGGGATACAATCGGTTATCGGTCCACGTTGCACTACGTTACCGACCTACGAACTCACCG